GGGGGGGGGGGGGGGGGGGGGGGGGGGGACAGGCATGCGGACGCGTGCTTTGGGGGGCCGCAGCTCCGGCTGCCGCCTCGGCTCCCATCGCCGTCTCCGTCGGGCTGGAACCAGGACAGCCACGGCGAGCTCTGCGGGGACAGCCTGGTGAGCCGCAGCCGGGGCTCCCCGCTGCCCCACGCCCTGATCCCGCCCTCACCTTCACTGCAGCGGGGCGACAGGGGCCCCCGAGCCGTGGAAGTGGACGTTCTGCCACTTGCCCTCGCGGCGGTGCCACACGCGGGTCTCCTCGGACTGGCTGGTGCGGGGCCGGCCCTGCGCGTCGATGTACTGGGTGAGGCGGATGTAGGCGATGCAGGCCGCGTCCTCCCCGATGACGTGCACGTGCGGGTTCAGGATGGTCGTGTGGATCGGCTTGTTGTTCTTGGAGAGCACTGCGGGGGGGCCAAGGTCAGCGGGACGGGCCACAGGCGGGCGGTGCGCGCAGATGGGGCAGCCCGCGGGTGAGGGACGGGGCAGGGGTGGCGGCAGTGCAGGCGGAGGGATGGCCCAGCAGGGTATGGCTGGGGACAGGGTGGGCAGGCAGGCAGTGGGCAAGGGTCAGGAAACAGGCAAGGACACAGCACGAACAGGGATGGGCTGGAAACAGAGAGGGCGGGCAGGGCAGGCAGGATGGGCAGGGCACTGGCGGAGCACAGGCAGGGCAGGTGGCACTGGTGGGTCGACCACTCACAGTTCTCGAAGTAGAAGCGGTGGAAGTCCATCCCTTCCACCAGGTTGCCCAGTGCCTCGGGCTCAAAGGAGGTAAGCCCCGGGTCGCAGATCTTCCTGCAGGGAGCAGATGAGAGCGGGCCGGCACTGCCCCACCAGGCCCCACCCCACCAGGCCCCGGCCCCCCTGGCCCGGCCCCACCACACCCGCCCCACTCACGCGTAGGCCTCGAAGTCCCCGTTGTTGACGGCCTCGATGAGCTGCTCCGTGATCTTGATGATCTCCTGCTTGCGGGCTGGGGGCACGTCACTGTCACTGCCACTGCCCCCGCCCCGCGGGGACACCGTGGGGGGCGGTGGACGGGATGTTGGGATGGACGTGGGACATAGAGGGGAGGCATGGGGACAGACACAGGGACAGACAGACCTTGGGAGCAGACAAACCTTGGAGACAGACAGACAGACCATGGGGACGGACCATGGGGACAGACACAGGGACCATGAGGACAGACAGACAGCCCTTGGGGACAGAAGGACCTTGGGGACAGACAGGGACCACTGTGCTCCCAAGGCCCCCACAGCTCTGCCACAGGAGTATCCACATGATCCTCTCAGCATGTCTCAGTGCTACACCAGTGCCACTCCAGCATGTCCCAGTACCCTCCCAGCATGCTCAAGCATCCCAGTGCCCACTCAGCATTTCACAGTAGTCCCTAGTGCACCCCAGTGTTATCCCTGCAAGTCCCAGTACATCCCAGTGCCATTCTAGCACAATCCAACACAGCCAGTTCCGTACCAGTGGCTCCCAGTGCTATCCCACTGTGTCTCAGTGCCATTCCAGTGCATCCCAGTACCATCCCAGTTCCATGCAAGTGCATCCCAACACATCCTAGTCCTACTGCATCCTAATCCTATTGCATCCCAGAGTATGCCAGTGCATCCCAGAGCTACTCCAGTGCCCTCAGATACATCCCAGTGCATCCCAGTGCCATCCTATCCCCTCCCAGTGCCTCCCAATACATCCCAGTTCCATCCCGGTGCAATCCTACTGCATTACAGTGCCATTCCACTACATCTCAGTACCATTCCAGGACATCCCAATACACCCCACTTTACACCAGTACATCTCACAGCCATCCCAGCGCATTTCAATGCAAACCAGTACCAACCTACTGCGTCCCAGTGCCCTTCCAGCATATTCCAGTTCAGCCCAGTTCCATCCCAGTGCATCCCAGCATCATGCTGTTGAATTCCAGTGTGTCCCAGTGCAATCCCAGTATGTTCCAGTATAATTCCAGTGTAGCCTGCTCCACTACATTCCAATGCCTCATTTCATCCTGACGCCACCAGTCATCCCAGTTTAATCCCAGTGCATCCCAGTGCCACTCCAGTGCATTTTAACCCAGCCCACTTCCATCCCACTATGTTCCTGCACTATTCCAGGGTGTATCAGTCCACTCCCCTTTGCCCCGCTGCACCCCAGTAACATCCCACTGTATGTCTGTGCCAATCTCCTGTGCCCCAGTATCATTCCAGTGCAACCCAATACATCCCAATTCCATTCCAGTGCATTGCAGTACCATTCTGCTGCTTCCCTGTGATCCCAGTAGCATTCTAGTGCATTCCAGTACACCCCAGTTCTACCCAGTGCATCCCACTGCCACTCCAGTGCATCTCAATTAATCTTAGTACCATCCCACTGTATCCCAGTGCACCCCAGTTCATTCCTGTGTCACCCTAATGTTCCAGTGTCATTCAGATGCATCTCAGTGCCACTCCACTATATCCCAGTTTGTCCCAGGGCATCTCAATGTCACCTCCTAGTGCCTCCAGGTGCCACTCCAGTGCATTCCAACATAGCCCATTTCCATCCCAGTATGTCCCAGTACTACTCCAGAGCATATCAGTACACTCCAGTTTATCCCAGTGACATCCCACTACATCTCAGTGTCAATGCATTAAGTGCTATTCCAGTGCATCCCAGTACATCCCAGTACAGACTGATTTTATCCAGGGCACCTCTTGGTACCATCCTAGCATGTCCCAGCATCATCCCAGTGAATCCCAGTGCCACCTCAGTGCATGTCAGTGCCACACTAGTGTATGCCAATCCACCCCAATACCACCCCAGTGCAAGTCTGCCCATCCCAGTGCCTTCTCAGATGAATCCCAGTGACATCCCAGTACACCCTAGTGCATCCCAGTACTACCCCATTCCATCTCAGTGCAACCTAATGCATCTCAGTGCCATCCCAGGCCCATTCCAGAGCATCCCAGTCTGGCCCCATGTGCTTGTAGTGCATCCCAATCCATCCCAGTGCCATCCCATTGCACCCCAATGCATCCCAGTGTCCATCCTTGTGCCTTTACAGCATGTCCCAATCTATCCCATTTCCATCTCAGTGCACCCCAATGCATCCTAGTACCATCCCAGTGCATCCCAGCATGCTCCCAGTGCATCCCAGTGATGTCCCAATGCACCTGCTCCATCCCAGTGCATCCTGGTGCCATCTCAGTGCATCTCAATGCATCCTGGTGTCATCCCAGCTCCATCCTAGTGCACCCCAAATCCATCCCAGTGCGTTCCAGCTGTCTCCCAGTACATCCCAGTGATATCCCAGTGCAACGCAATGAATTCTTTTGCCATCCCTGTGCCATTCCAGGGTAACCTAGTGCCATCCCAGTGCCATCCCAATGCATCCTGGTGCCATCCCAGATCCCTTCCAGTGCATTCCAGTGCTGCCCCAGTCCATCGCAGTGGGATCCCAGTGCACCAATGGTTATCCTGGTGCCATGCCAGTTCCATCCCAGTGCAACTCAATGCATCTTAGTGCCACTCCAATGCATCCTGATGCCATCCCAGTGCATTCCAGTGCCATCCCAGTGCATCCAAGCATGGTCACAGTGTATCTCAGCGTCATTCCAGTGCACCCCAATGCATCCTTTGCCAACCCAGCTCCATCCCAATGCATCCCAGTGAACCAAATGCACCCTGGTGCTATCCCAGTTCCATTCCAGTGCACCCCAGTGCATCCTAGTGCCATCCCAGTGCATCCCAGTTCCATCCCAGTGCATTCCAGCACACTTCCAGTGCACTGCAATGCATCCTAGTGCTAACCCAGTGCATTCCAGAACTGTTTGAGTGCATCCCAGTGCCATCCCAGGGCATCCTGGTGCCATCCCGGTTCCTCCCAGTACCATTCCAGTGCACCCCAATGCATACTGGTGCCATTCTAGCACCACCCCAGTGCATTCCAAGACACTCCCAGTGCATTCCAGTGCAACTCAATGCATCCTAGCACCCCAGTGCATCCCGTCTCCCTCCCAGTGCATCCCAGTGCATCCCCACCGCCCCCAGCGCCCGTCACCTTTGGTGTCCTCATCCTCGATGGTGGTGTTGGTGCTGTCGGATGACTCCTGCCCGCGGGACGGCGGCGGTGGGGGGGAGACACAAACAGGGGGGTCAGACCTGGCCTTGGGGGGACGGGGAGGGGGGACGAGCCCAGCCGGGGCTTCGCGGGACCCCAGCGATGGCAGACACCGTGGGGGGACCCCTCTGTCACCGCGCCCCGTGTGCACTCCTCATCCACGTCACCCCCCGCCCCGCGCCATGGCTGATGCTGGGGGAGGATGGAGGCGGAAAGCGGGGACCCCCAGCCCTGAGGACGGCGGGGGCAGCGATACCTTGATGCCGTCTGCAGGGTTATGAATTACGGTAGTTTGAGGCTCCTACGGGAGAAGGGGGAGAGACAGAGGCAGGGGGGAAGCAAGAGCCCGGAGGGGGAACAACGAGGGGGGACGACGAAGCGAGCAGCACGTGGACAGGGGCGAGGAGAGACCCAGACCAGATTTGGGAAGGGCAGAGGGGGGAAGAGAAGCAGAGAGTCATTAGTCCAGCAAAGCCAAATGGTTTAATTCACAGACGTGGAAGGGGGAGAAAAGGGGAGAAGGGGGGGCAGAGAGGTGGGGAAAGACGCAGTGAGAGGCCAAGGGGATGGGCTGGGCTGGGGGGCAGCTCCGTGCCCATGTCCTGCATCCCAGTGCCCAGGGGCTGCACTCACCATGCATCTGAGAATCTCACTGCCTGCATCCTGAGCACCCCCATGCCTGCATCCCAACCATCCTGCTGCCTGAATCCCTGAGCATTCCTCAGCTTGCATCCAGACCATCCCTGTGCCTGCATCCCAACCATCCTGCTGCTCACATCCCAACCATACCACTGCATGCATCCCAAGCATTCCTCAGGTTTCATCGTGACCATCCCGCAGCCAGCATCTCAAGCATCCATCATCCCTAGCATCCCACTGCCTGCAACCCACCCTGAGTGGGGTGTGCACCCCTTTCTCAGTATCTCGCACTCACTGACCAGCTGGGCACCCCTTCACCGTTGTCCAACACTCTGTGCCAGCTGGGCCTCGCCTTGCACGTATCCTGCCTTGCTGGTACCATCCCTCCACCCTTATGCTGCGCTCCCCGTGCCACCCAGGTCACCATGGGCACCCCTGTGCCCCCATCCTGCACTCACCTTGCTGTTGGCATCACCAAAGCACCCCCACATCCTGCACCTGCTGCTCCAGATGTGCCCTCCTTTCCCCCCGTCCTGCACTCCCTGTGCCAGCTGGGCAGCCCTGTGCCCAGATCCTGCACTTACCTCACCCACAGGCTCATGGTCAGCACCCCCATCCCTGTGCCTGGACCCTGCACCCACCTTGTCCCCAGCGTGGAGCATCCACATGCCTCTGCCCTGAACCCACCTTGCTGTTCCCATGGCAGGGGCGCCTCTGCACCTGTTTCCTGCACCTACCTTGTCCCCATGGTGGAGCACTCGTGTGACCGTGTCCTGCACCCATGTCACTGTCCCTTGGGGAGGACACGGGGCTGTCCATGTGCCCGCACCCTTCACCCACCTCGTCCGTGCAGCGGGGTCACCTCATGCCCATGTCCTGCACACCCCTCTCCGTCCTCGGGACACCCCCCTCCCCAGCGCCCCGGGAACAGCTGGGCAGGGGGCGCGCATGGTGATGGATGGGATGGGCTGGTGGGATGGATCCAGTGGGATGGGGAGTCCGGGGGGGTGCAGCGTGGGGGGCACCTACCAAGGCGGCAGGTGGGAGGGTCCCCTTGGGGCTGGTGACACCGGCACTGCCTTTGGTGCTGTTGGTCTGGGGCTGGAGAGGAGAAATAGGGGGGGCTCAGTGGCACGGGGAGAGCAGCCCACCCCAGCCCCCCGCTGGCCCCTCACCTTCACGCCATCCGCCTTCTTGTTCAGTAAGCTCTTAGCTGCTGCGGGGGGAGAGAGTGTCAGTGCTGTCCCCCTGGGACAAGGGACACCTTTGTCCCCCCAAACCCAGACCCTTCCAGCCATCCAACCTGATCCCACTTTGGGTGCTGGCAGCACTCGCCACCCCCGTGTTGGGGAGGGGGGGACATGCTAGGACGGGAGTGTCCCCATCCTGGGGGTGTCCCCATCCTGGGGGTGTCCCCGTCCTGGGGGGAGTCCCCATGCTGGGAGGGGTGTCCCCAACCTGGAGGTGTCTCCAACCTCAGGGAGGTCACCATCCTGGGGGAAGGGAGTGTCCCCATTCAGGGATGGGTGTCCCCTACCTTGGGGGGTTTTCCCTATCCTGGTGGGTGACCCCCTCCTAAGGGAAGGTTCCCAAACTCCAGGGGGGTCCCCAACTATGGGGGGGGGAAGTTGTCCCCATCATGGGAGGAGTATCCTCAACCTCTGGGGATCTCCATCCAGGTGCAATGTCCCCATCCTGGGGGGGGTCCCCAAACTTGGTGGGTCCCTAGACTGGAGGAAGGGGGTGTCCCCAACATGGGGAGGGTCCCCATCCTGGTGGCCCCCGTGGGGGGGTGCAGGACTGGCTTACCTTAGAGAAATGCAGAGAGGAAAGCGAGAGAGAGGAGGGGGAGGGGGGCAAGAGAGAAATGGGGGAAAAGGAGGAAAAGGGGAAAAACATAAAAAAAGAACATAAAAAAAGATGAGTTGAGTTCGGGGTGTGTGGGGGGAACACAGCCACCTGTGCCCCCCCAAGTCTCCCTGGAGGGGGACAAGGACGGGTGCAGGGATGAGCGTCTGTCACTGCTACCACGATCTCTGGCCACTGGTCTGGTGGGGGAGGCCGGGGACATGGGTGCCGAAAGTGGCTATGAGGGGTTGTGGAGCGTCACCTTGAGCATCCTCGTGGCTCCTCCAAGCTTGGGGACCCCCCTGGTTGCCTCACAGGTTACAGGGGGCTGTGCGGTGACAAGTCCAGTGACAGCAGGGTGGCACCAATCAGAACCCCAGGGGGGAGCATATGAGGGGAGGAGGGGACACCCCATCCCTCCCCTCATGGACCTGTGTCCCCCCAGGGGTCCCTGACAGGGTGTCCCCAAGGGTCCTGGTCCCTCCTCTGAAAGCAGGCAGGCGCTGAGAGGTGGGGTTTTAAACCAGAGCCAAACTGGGGGGGCCAGAGGGGGACCCCTGGCAGGGGGGCCAGAGGTAGCCCTTTAGGGGAGTGTGGTTTAAGACCCGCCGAGTGTTTCACGGTGCCACAAACACTGGCTGCAGCTCTCGAAGCTGGGGTGGGGGGTGGCCACATGCTGGGGGAGTTACATGCTTGGGGGGGGGACCGGCACATGCAAGTGGGGGACATGCAGGGTGGGGACACAGGGGGACATGGGACATGCAGCCAGTTTGCCCCCCTCCATGCACTGGTGTGCCCCCACTGTGTGCACAGGGGGAGCAGTGCCACGGGGTGGAAGCAATGGCGGCGGGGGGGGATACCCTAAAATTATCCCCACGCCCCCAACTCCCTGTTGCTGACCCAGGTGGGGACCCTGGAGATGCCACCCCAGTATGTGCCCCTTCAGGGACCACTGGCCAGGGCACAAGCACCCAGCAGCCCCCTCCATGAGATGGGAGCTGGGGCAGACACCCACCCCGGGGCCAGTCTGGGGGCATCAGCAGGGGGGACAGTGGCATTTCTCAGTGGAGAGGGGGAGAGGCTGGGGGCTGGGTGGGGGCAGTGCAGGGGGGCCATGCATGCGCTCCGATTTCCGAGGAGGGCACCCGAAACCTGTTGGGGAGGGGGAGGCAGGGAAAAGGATGGTTGGGAGAAGAGGGGGACGTGGGGATGAAGGATCCGGGGACACACAGAGACCAAGCAGGGCCAGGGGGGCCGGGGGGGCCCTTTGCAGACGCGTCTACCTTGTTCCACCAGCCCCAGGGGGGCCCCGGCGGCGGCCGCCGACATGGTCGGAGGAGCGGTGGTCTGTCTGCCCACTGCGGGCCACGAGAGAGAGAGAGAGGGAGCAGAGCTCCTGTTAGGGGGCTGAGGGGGCTGCAGCTGGGACCCCCAACTTCCACCCCCCCCAATAACAACTCTTGGGGTGCCCATCACCCTGGCCTCAGGCCTGGAGTGGCTGGGGATGCTCCGTCCCCCTCCCCGTGTCGCCCCCCACCAGCCACCGGGGTGGGGGGGGACACACGGGGACCGGGCACTACCTGCTGCTGCGTGTGTGGGGCAGGGGGGGCCAGGTCCTGCCCCCACCTTGGCTACCACACGCCCCGTCCTTGCCGATGGGGAAAAAATGGGGGAGTTAAGGGGGGGAAGGGGAGAAAGAGAGAAAGACAGCGACAGAGAGAGGGGGGCACCAGCCTGGGGGGGAGCTGTGGGCAGGGGTGCTGCGGCCCCTGGCCCCCCCCGGCCAGCAGGTGCCCCCCCCTTACCTGAGAAATTCCTGGTGGCCAACATAGTGGTGAGGATGGCACCCTGTGGGGAGGGGCACAGTGAGGGGAGGGGGCATGGGGGTGAGACAGGGCAGGATGGGGTCCTGGGAGCAGGGGGTTGGACAGGCAGAGTGAGGAGGGGGTGAAGTGGGGTGATGGCATGTGGGGTCCCAGATCAGGGGGGATGGGATGGGGAGGTGCAGTGTGGGGCCCATGGGACTGAGAAGTTCGAGAGGGGGCTGCAGGAGGGGGCAGGATGGAGCCATGGGACCGGGCAGTGGGATGGAGGCTGCAGGACAAGGGGGCAGCACGAGGAAGGGTAGGTTAGAATCATGGCATAGGGACATGTACTGGGCAGGGGCAGGATGGGACCATGCCACACTGAGTGTCACTGGGATGAGACCACAGCCCATGGCAGAGCAGTGGGCATGGCCAGGATATAGGGCCGATCCCATAGTGGGCAGGGCAGAGGTCTCACAGCAGGCTGGGCAGGGTCCCGCAGCAGAACCCCATGGAGAGGCAGGGTGGTGCCGGGGGGACAAGCACCATCCCCAGCCCACACCTCACCCCCTCACCTTGAGCTTCCTCCGGGCGTTGAACTTTTTCAGGCACTCCACTGTTTCCTGCCTGTGCATCATCGAGGCCACGGTGGAGCGTTGCTGTGGGGGACAGCAGGGTCAGCACCAGGCGCTGGCGGCCACTGGGCCTGAGGGACACGGTGGGGGACACGTGACACTTACGCAGACCCACGGGTGCTTGAGGGCCTCGTGAGCTGTGATGCGCTTGGCGGGGTTGATGGTCAGCATCTGGTTGATGAGGTTTTTTGCTTCAGGGGTGACCGTGTCCCACTCGGGCGAAGGGAACTGGTGGGAAACAGGGACACAGGGGGCTGACAGCTCTGGAGGGGCAGCCCCATGGCAGCCGTGTCCCTCCGTGTCCACACATCCCCAACCAGCCACCAAAGGCGTGGCCCAAAGCCATTCCCCCAGCTCCTGCCTGCTGGGATTAGCTGTGGCATCCCTCAGTGGGCTCTGGAGTTAATGGGGGCCGTCACAGCACAGCAGGTCCTGGTACTGGGGACTTACATCATAGGCCCCGGCCTTGATCTGTTGGTAGAGTTTGTGCTGGTCCTCGTCCCAGAACGGCGGGTAGCCCACCAGCAGGATGTACAGGATGACCCCTGGGCCAGGGAGAGCAGGGTCAGGGGGCTGCAGGAACCCCCAGCCACCCCCTGGCTCCGTCTGGCCCTGTGGTGTCCCCATGACACAGCAGTGATCCCAGCATGGCCTGTCCCTGTGCTGCCAGGATGGCACCTGCCAGGAGAGTGCAGCACTGCTGGGGCACAGGGCACAGGGTGGCCATGGGATGGGGACTGGGACAGAGCTGAGACACGAACTGGGATGGGACCAGCATAGAAGTGGGATGGGAAAACAGGGTGAGACTGGGATGGGAATAGGATGAGACAAGAATGGAGCCAGGAAGGGGCCAGAATGGGACTGCGGTGGAATCACAGTGAGACCAGGCAGAGATTGGGTAGGGGTGGGGCAGGGATTAGGATGGCATTGGGCAGGCATTGGCAGGGACTGGATGGGGACTGGCACAGGGATGGGCTCTTACCGCATGCCCAGATGTCCACGGGTTTGCCATAGGCCTCTTTGCGCAGGACCTCGGGGGACAGGTAGCCGGGCGTGCCCGCGAATCCTGCCAGGGGCACAGAGAGACGGGTGAGCCACGGCGGGCACCGGGCAGGACACAGCGGGCACAGGACTGGGACACGGGCATGGGGCAGGGATGTGCTGGGCATGGAAGGATGTGGTCGGCACAGGGCAGGATGCTGTGGGCACACAGACATGGCAGGTATGTGCCAGGGCCGTGGTGGTGTCCTGGTTTCAGCTATGGTAGAGTTAATTTCTTCTCAGGAGTTGTCACAGTGCTGTGTTTTGTGGGCACGGCAGAATGCAGTGGCAACACGGCAGGGACTCAGTGGATATGGGACAGGGACAGGGCAGGTGTGGCCGTGGAAGGGACAGGGCGGGCACAGAGCAGGGACACAGTGAGCAGGACACGTTGGGCAGAGGTCAGGGCTGCGGAGGGGACAGGGGGCAGTGGCACTCACCAAACCAGGCCTGCTGATCCCCCTGCACCTCAATGGCGAGGCCAAAGTCTGCCAGCTTCACCGCTGCCCCTTTGCACTTGCTGGCCAGGAGCAGGTTCTCCGGCTGTGTGGGCACCAGGCACAGGCAGCACCGGGCACAGGCACGGGTGGGGAGGGAGAGGAGGGACGGGGGAAGCAGAAGGGCTTTGCAGCTGCCATTGAACATGTCCTGCCCGTTTGCCAGCTGTGTGCTGTGTGCCTGCAGCCACAGGCACCCTCCACCACTGGCCCAGGGTGCCGGCTGGCACAGCCCCACAGCCAGCTCAGTCACCCCATGTCCCACTTGCCTCATCTCAGTATACCCCTGTATCCCACCCCTTCCTCCCCCCATATCCCACCATCCTCTGGTATCCCATGCCCCCACCCCTCGTATCCCACCCACCATCCCGTGTCCTGTCCTGACCTCATCCCTACCCCCAGCCTGCTCACTCCCCCCACCAAGGCCATGGTAAGCAGGGGGCTCACAGGGAGCCCCCCTAGCAGTGCAAGACCGTGCCATGACCGAGGGGGCCACATACACCCCCAGAAAAGGGAGATGGCAGCTGGGGGTGCTCAGAGCAGGGGGGAATCCTCCAACCCCAGTGGGATCTGAGTGACCCCCAGGATCCACTGAGCCAGGGCCCACCCCGTGCTGTGGGGACCCTGAGAGCTTGGGCTGGGGGAGAGGGGCAGAGGGACAGATGGGGATCTGGGGGGACACACTTACCTTGAGGTCCCTGTGGACCACCCCCATCTGGTGACAGTGCAGGACGGCCTCCAGGATCTGCTGGATGCAGTGGCTGCATGCAAACAGGGGGGTCAGGGGTATGCTGCTCCCTCATCTCCCACACCCCCTGCCTGGGACCTGCACCCCCAAAGTGGCCCCCTGCCCCACTGCTGGGGCCCCCCTACACCCCAGGGGGAGCTGATGGAAACAAGTGGTAAGCTTAGATTGGGGGGTGCAGAATGCACCCCCTGTACCCCTGCCAGGGGCTCACTCCTGGAGGGAGGGCCACTCCTTGGGGATCATGGCCTGGAGGAGTCACCGGGAGGGGTTTCACTTCAGGGGGTCATTGAGCTGGGGTGGGTCACTGTTTGGGGGTCATTCCCTGGGGGTCACCCCTGGGGGGTTTACTGCTTGGGGGGTCACCCCAGAGTTGTCACCCCTGCAGGATCACTCCTGGGGGCATCACTGCCTGGGTGGGTCACTGCCTGGGGATCGTCAGTGATGGGGGTTCATCCCTGAGGGGAAGTCACTGTCCAGGGGTCACCTCTCAGTGCCCACCAGGTGAGCTCCCATCTTGGCACAGAGCCACGGGGAGTCACCCCAGTGGTATTTTTGTGTCCCACCCCTGCCTCCCATGGGGGCCTCCCCATCCCTGCTGCCACCCGGACGCCGGGGTCCCCCAGACAGGACTCACGGGGTGGGGGGACAGGGGGTATGGGGGGGGCAGATGGAGACGAGACAAGAAAGAAAGAGGGAAGGAGCGGGGAATGAGAGCCTGAAATGGGGGTGAAGGGGAGGGGTCCCACCCAGTTGGGGGAGCAGGGGCATTGGGGGGGCAACCTCCCTGTGAGGGGGAAGGGGGGCAAAAAAAGTGGGGGTGGGGAGAAAAAAGAGTGAGGAGAGAGCCCCACAGCTGGGTCCTTGCGAGTGGAGCAGGGGGCTGGGAAGCGGGGGCTGCGGCGGGCGGGGGCAGCGCAGGGGGCACGGCCCCCCCGGCCCCCCCCAGATACTGACCTGCGGCTCCCTCTGCTCAGGGGCAAAGTGATGGGTGGGAGGAACGCGGGCAAAGAGCTCATGGACACAGTGACTGCAAAACAGAACGGGGGGCGGGGCGGGGGCGGGGGGAGGG